ATAGAAAACACCCCCATCAGAAACTCTTTCCGTATTATCACTATACCAAAAAAGCTAGTGGTTCTACCCTATAAAGTCCCCGCCTAACATAACTAAGTAAAGCCTCATAAATGTCCTCATTAATGGACTAATATTCGCCTTTTATTCACATATTTATATCAGTGGGGGGTTTCGCAATTAGAAATTTTTTTAAACTTTTTTATTGGATTTTTTAAAGAGAGATTGGAGAAAAAAAAAAAAATTAAAAAACTTCGTTTAAACCTTCCTACCCCCCCCCCCCCCCCACTGGGGATGTGCCCACAACCAAGGTACATGCCCTTGACCAGAATCGAACCTGGGACCCCTCAGTCCACAGGCCGACGCTCTGTCCACTGAGCCAAACCGGTCAGGGCTGTAATTTGTAATTTTGATGTGGTCATAGGAAGAGGAGAGCACAGTGTTCACTACTCCGCCATCTTGACTCGAACCTCTAGAATAAGTTGTCTTAAATGAGTTTACTGACTTTGCTCTCTTACATTAATGTCAGTAATATAAGGTTTTAGGATTTTTGAAGTGGGAATGAGTTCCAGTTTCATAGTGGAGAATCCAGCTCAGCCCCCAGTTGCCCTTTGATGAGAACTCTCACATTGGCTCACTCTTTCTGGATGACAGTCCCTCTCTCACTTAAGCCTACAGTAACCCTACAAATAGGTAAGGCAAGAGTTTTTGATTGGCACGTATGCTAGAATGAGAACGAAACTCTTCTGACTTCTAGTAGAGTGCCCTTCTCTCCTCTCTCTGGCCATGATGCTTACATTACAGTTCTTTCAGTTAAAAAACAAATAGTATGGAGCCCAGCCGGCTTGGCTCAGTGGTTGAGTGTCGACCAAGAGGTCACAGTTCGATTCCCGGTCAGGGCATATGCCCGGGTTGCAGGTTTGATCCCCAGTGTGGGGCATGTAGGAGGCAGCCGATCAATGATTCTCTCATCATTGATGTTTCTATTTCTCTCTCCCTCTCCTTTTCTCCCTGAAATCAACAAAAATGTATTTAAAACACACACACACACACACACACATACACACACACCAAATAGTATGGAAAGTGTGGGCCTGTTAGCCAACAGAACTCTTGGGCTGTGAATTTCATCACTAGGGTGAGTAGGAACAAGGTGGACAATGCACACAAGTGCTTTGGACTGGGCAGTGCTCTGGCCAGACTGTGGAGGGAGTTTATCTTACTGATCCTCTAAGAAAACTCACTTCACTAGGGCAAAAGGCTTTTTACCTGTAGTCCAGAGGGTCTGTGGGTCTCAGAAGTTATTATCAAAATCTTATGTAAAACCGGGTGGAGGGGAGCTATGGGGGGAAAAAAGAGGAACAACTGTAATCTGAACAATAAAGATTTTAAAAAAAATCCTATGTAAATGTGCATTTGTGCCCCCCCCTCCCCCGCCCTGGGGATTAGTTTTTGTCATATCTGAAAGGGAATAGTGAACCAAGACACTCAAGTCCCATGTCAATAAGCAGTGAAGGCTACTAAGGTGGTGTGGGACCATCCCAAGAGCACTAGACCAGAGTTTATAGCTGAGTTCTAATTCTGGTCCTGCCAGTATACTTGCAGGTGAGTATGTTTAACTCAGTTTCCTAAGTTCTGGAATGCTGGCCATTATTAATGGTCATTAGTAAGATGGACGGTGGTAATGGTCAGTCTCAACTGTATCTGTAATAAACCAGAGAAGCTGAATTGTGACGTTTCAGACAGTGGTAAGGGGTAATGATATACCTATCATGCCATGGAAGCAGCTTGTGTTGTACAGAGCTAGCTTTAGTTTTGTCTATATTTGAGAACTTTGTATTTTGAGAACAAAGGAACCAAAGGTGTTTAGAAATTATTGTCCTTAAGACTTTTTTCTACATCTAAGGAAAAGAGTTTTAAGTTTGAGTTTAACTAAATCTCTACATTACAGATATTAAATGTGCTTTTTTTCATAGTCAGCAGATGCTCACTTGTTGACAACAGAGGAGAGGAACCAAGTTATACTCGACCTTAAAGCAGCAGGATGGTCAGAATTAAGAGAGAGAAATGCCATCTACAAAGAGTTCTCCTTCAAAAATTTTAATCAGGTAATTATTACATTTTCTTGCTAGTACCCTGGTCTGTTTTTGTCACCTTAGGCTGTTACTTCTAATACTACTAGTTGTCTGATCCCATGTGGATCCAGGATCCAAATCCTCTTCTTTTAGAATTCACTGATACCACCCAACTGATTGGATGATTCATATTTAACTCTAGGTTAAAGAGGGTGGTTAGTGTCATTTGGAAAATCAAATTTTGAAACCACTATTGCTTTGATTTGGTGTTAAATAGGAGATTGAGTTTCCTTTCAAATTTTAAATAACATGATAAAAGCATGTGAGTTTTTTAAAATGTTTATCCGAAGGGGACATTAGTAACAGCAGTTGAGAAACACACCAGCTTGACTGATTCCTCCTAATTTTCTTGATTGTCCAGTTTTCTTTCTCCCTGTAGTTGTATTTCTGTCTAAATCATCTCCCAAGCTGCACCCTCTTCTCTGATTGGCTCCTTTCCCCCAAGCCCAGTAGGCAGCCCTTGAAGTGTTTCTTAAAAGCTGGTCGCCAGGTAGAGGCTCAGCCTTAACAGGTACCTGTCCCATTAGGGCGCCACCCTGTTTAGAGAGTCATCTCCCATGACTTACCTTCAGTTCTTACTCCATTGCATTTACTATATACAGTCATTACTTTTGACTGTTTCATGTTTGTTCAGTTAGTTTGGTAATTCTCTGGATAGATTTATTGTTTTTATTTATATTAGATGTCAGCATCTACAAGGCAGAGACCACGTTTGCTTAAACAACTCTCTTTTGTACCTAACACAGTTCTGTGTACAAACAGGCATTGGATAAATGCAGATATTGATTACAGTGTTTGCTCATTTCTGGAAGGGTGTGTGAGGACCAGATTTCTACCAAAGAAAGCTCCGACATGTTTTCTTAGTAAATGCCGTTGGCTCCACCGAGCTGAATGCCCTGTTCTGCTTTCCATCCATCTGGCTGCCAGCCTTCTGCTGTGAGTCTCCAACTCCTGAGGAAACCTGGACCAAGCTGACTCCCTGTCACTGCTGCCCCATGTGCTCAAAAGCTCTTGTCAGGGGCTTAGCACTCTGTGGCTGGTGGCAGGGAATCCCATTGGTACAGTAAGCTTGTGCATAAGCTCTAGGTAGCATTTTCCAAGCTTATTAAAATTCTTACATGTGTACAGCCTGACTTCTTTAAGCCGGGGTTAATTTATTGGGCTTGAACATGTGGCTTAAAGTACTTGAGTAGTGTTGCCTCAGGCTCTGCCCATGAGTCAGTCGTCCAGCCCTACTCTAACCTTATGCTGGGGTGACTTTTGGAAATGGGAGGGAAGGGAAGCTGCCCAGGGCATCCTTGATTAATTGTAACATTATTCATCAGGACATCTAATTAACTAGACTTTCTCCCTTCATCCAGCTTTTAGGAAAAAGAGGCAGATGACAAGAAAATCATCTGGTCAGGGAATGTATTCAGAGAACCAGCACTGATATTATATCCTAGAATCATTTTCCCAGCCAGGCTCCTATGATTTCTGCATGTATAGTGGCCTATCATGGCAACTGATGTCCTGACAACTATCAGTGCCCACCAGCCAAAGACCACCAGAACATACCATTAGTTGAACTGGCCGAGTTTATCTGCTTGTTGAAACGAGGGAGAACACACAACATAGGGAATTGTGGGCCATCTCAGGAAGATGGTGATAGACATATTACAGGATTTGGGCTTGTGTTAGTGAGTTGGGAGAGTTTTTAGGGCTTTGCTCTGGAGTGGATGCCGTCAGAAAATGGTAATTTTTTTTTTTAAAATATATTTTATTGATTTTTCACAGAGAGGAAGGGAGAGGGATAGAGAGTCAGAAACATCGATGAGAGAGAAACATCGATCAGCTGCCTCCTGCACATCCCCCACTGGGGATGTGCCTGCAAGCAAGGTACATGCCCTAGACTGGAATCGAACCTGGGACCCTTCAGTCCGCAGGCCGACGCTCTATCCACTGAGCCAAACCGGTCAGGGCGAAAATGGTAATTTTAAAATTCAATATTTATTTTTTAAATAGAAGAAATCCTTTTATAAAATTTTTTAAATTTAAATATAGTTGGTATGCAATATTATCTTAGTTATATTAGTTTTAGGTGTACATATAATTTAGCATTTTAATAAATTTTCCCTATAGGGAGAAGAGACTAAAGTGGAAATTGATAAAAAACAATAGTCACTCATTAGCTGGGGGGAGGGAGTGTTTGGTATTTTGTTCATGGTTTCTCTATATTCAGATATCACTACAGAGTGTCTTTTTTTGTGTCTTAGTTTCCTAGAGGCAACCTAGTCAGCAGAGGAGTTGATCAGATAGAGGTAAAGGTTGGTGATGACATGTAGTGCAAGGCCCCCATCCAGACTCCTGCAGCTTTCTCTGTCTGGGGGGGTCAGAGGGGTGGTCTTCTGGGTCCTGGTGGACTCTGGTAGAGGTGGGTGCATGCTCCAGAGTGGCATTGTCGGACATTGATGTTTATGTTCAATACCAAGGCCTAGGTGTGACTGCCAGGCCAGCTCCTAGCAACACCAAGGCCATGTTGACAGTCCCCGGCCAATTCCCAGGTGTCAGGGCCCACTGTGCTTCATGTGCTCCTGGCAGCTACAATACCCTTTCTGGCTTAAACTCTGTAAACTGGAGGGAGCCACTGTCAGAACTGGTCCCCTGTCTCTTAAGAGATTTTAGCCCACATTTGGTGGTGGTACCATCCTATATAATAAAAGGCTAATACGCAAATCAGCTGAACAGTGGAACAACCGGTTGCTATGATGCTCACTGACCACCAGGGGGCAGATGCTCAATGCAGAAGCTGCCCCCTGGTGGTCAGTGTGCTCCCCCAGGGGGAGTGCTGCTCAACCAGAAGCCAGGCTCCCACACTGGGAGTGGGCCTAAGACATCAGTTGGACATCCCCCAAGGGCTCCTGGACTGCAAGAGGGCACAGGCCGTGCTGAGGACCCCCCCCAAGTGCACGAATTTTGTGCACCAGGCCTCTAGTATATATATTTTTTTAATCCTCATCTGAGGATATGTTTAGAGAGAGGAAGGGAGAGAGAAACATCAATTGGTTGCCTCCCATACACTCTTGACCAGGGATCGAATCCATAAACTAGATATGTGCCCTGCCTGGGAATTGAACCTGTAACCTTTTGCTGTATGGGATGATGCTCCAACCAACTGAGCCACACACCCAGGGCAGCATGTTTTTAAATCTTTGCTGAACATACAGGTAAAAAATATGTTCTGTTTTGTTTGTTCAATAGGTTATGATCATTTTTCTTTACATAATATTTTCATTTACCTTCAGGAGTAAGATTACACTTGCCTGGGTATTTCAATTTTTAAGTGGTTTGTTTATGTAGTGTGTGTAAAATGGTATCACAAACCCTGACCAGGTAGCTCAGTTGGTTAGAGCGTTGTGCCGCTGCGCCAAGGTTGTGGGCTCAATCCCAGGTTAGGGTATATACAAGAATCAACCAATGAATGTATAAATAAGTGGAACAACAAATCAATGTTTCTTTCTCTTCCTACCTCTCTCTCTAAAAAAAAAAAAAATTGTATCACAAGTTTGCTTTAGAATTCATTTTATTTTATTACGGTGGAAAATGAGCCATACATTTTAGAAACATTCTCAATCTGGATAAAAAACCTATTTCTCAAAACTTTGGGTTATTTTAGGTTTTACTATAAAAAAGTAAATGGCCAGCAAAGTATATTTGGACTTTTTTCTCTTTGAGGTTTTATTGTAGGATATAATTAGTTCCAAATAGTCCACATGCATTTGATAGCTCAGGTGGGTGCATATACTTAGAGAATATAAATGTGAAAATTCCCCAGGGATTCTCATAGTGTAGATGGGTGAAGTGGCCATACGTTTCAGTGGCTGTTTGCCCACTGTCTCTCCTTGGTGGTGGTGCACGTGCAGTATGTTGTGGGGTGGAATGGTGTGGTGAGACTCTGAGCAGTCAGAGCATGGCAGTGCCAGGACTCGAGGCAGGAAGTTTCCTTACTTGGAGTGCTTGGACTCAGGGTGGGGTTGGCATTTGTAAAGGAGTTTTGCTTTCTTACTTTTCATGTGGACATAAGGAGGGAGAGGTTTCTAAGTGACATAAAAACTTACAAGTTTGGTGCCCTGTATTGAAAGAAAATGTTAGAAATGTGAGTGTGAGTGTTCCATAAAGATAAATGTTGTTACGCATTGTCATGTATGAATAAGCGGGAAGCTTAAAGCAGCGGAAATTTTAAGCTATATAAGTGGGTGCCAAAGGGGAGGCTTAGGAACCCAGGAAACAGCTAGTGCAGATGCCAGCAGGTGGAGCCCTCTAGGGCAGGAGTCCAGCCTGGCCAGGCAACACAACTTTCCTTGGAAGGCTGTCCCCATTCCCTCACTCTTGGATACAGGGTCCACCATTGTTCAGCATGGAAATAAACTTAGTATCAGGAATAGCAGCGGTGTTGGTGCACCTGGCCTGGCTTGGTACCTTTTGGGTGAATGAAGAATTCTGTGGATGGAGGATGTGAGGAGTTTCCATTTGGTAATGGAGAACACTTGTAATTCAGGAGAAAGGGACTGAGTTTTATGAGACAGAACTATGATCCCATGCTTCCCTAGAGGAGCTCCTGTACCTTGTCTGTGCCTTTGTAGGTGGGCCTGCCTGCAGAGCATTTGGTTTTGCTAGATTGAATCATATGAACTGGCTGATCTTCAGCCAGTTTTGACCTAGAAAAATGGCTTATCAAAGTGTAGTATCTGTTGCAGAGCAAGGTCCAAGCTTTACTTATTCCATATCTTATTTATCACATTTTGGTTATTGTAACTGGTGCGATAAAGATTTCTGGAGCTGGAGTGGGAAGGGGACTTCTGAATGGCAAGGCCATGGTGGTGATGGTGGTGATGGTGCACCTAGCAGCAGTAGCATCATAGGTGAGTTTGGGGTTTGAAAAATGTTTTTCTTCCTGTGCCCAGAGCCTCTGCTGTAGAGCAGTTGAAAGTTACTATTGCTGACTTACTTTATGAAAGTGAGGAGTTTGATAATAGGCTTATGGTTAACATTTTGAAGCACTTAGTGAAGTAAAAGTTTGATGATATCAGATAGAGGATCTACCTAAAACATAGTCACAAACCCAAACAGACAACCAAAATGAGGAAACAAAGAAACAACTCCCAAATGAAAGAACTAGAGAATTCTCCAGAAGAAGAGATAAATGAAGTAGAGATAAGAAATTTATCTGAAACAGAGTTCAGAGTAATGATGTTAAAAATGCTCAACAGTATGAAAAATAATATAGTAACTATGAAAAAAGAACAGCCTGAGATAAAGAATGACAACACAAATAAAGAACACATTGGAAGGAACACACAGCAGATTAGGGGAAGCTGACAATTGAATCAGTGAATTAGAAGATAGAGTTGAAAATTCCACTCAATTAGAGAACCAAAAAGAAAAAACGAAAAAACAGGAGGACAGCTTAAGGGAGCCGTGGGACAATGTGAAACATAACAATATTAGAATAGTAGGTGTGCCAGAAGAGGCAGAGAGGGAGAAAGGAATAGAGGTGTTTGAAGAAATAATGGTAGAAAACTTCCCTAATCTGGTAAAGGAAAAAGTCATACAAGTTCAGGAGGCACAGAGAACCCCAAACAAGAAGAACCCAAACAGATCCATGCCCATACACATCATAATTAAAATGCCAAAAATTAAAGACAGAGAATCTTAAAGGCAGCAAGAGAAAAGAAAACTGTTACCTACAAAGGAGTTCCCATAAGGCTGACACTTGATTTCTCATCAGAAGCTCTATAGGCATGAAGTACTCAAGGTAATGGAAATCTGAGACCAAGATTACTATATCCAGCAAGGCTATCATTTAGAATAGACGGTCAAATAAAGAGCTCCCCAGACAAAAAAAGGCTAAAGGAGTTCATTACCACCAAGCCAGCATTGCAAGAAATGCTAAAGGGATTGCTGTAAGGGATTGCTGAGAAGAAGAAAGAGAGAAACCTAGCCATACAGAATTAAAATGGCTATAAATAAGTACCTCTCAATAATAGCCCTAAATGTAAATGGATTAAATGGCCCAATCAAAAGGTGTAGGGTAGCTGAATGGATAAAAAACCATGATCCAACAGGTATATGCTGTCTACAAGAGACCCACCTCAAAACAAAAGACACACACAGGATGAAAGTGAAGGGATGGAAAAAATTTTTCCATGCAAATAGAAAAGAAAAAAAAAAAAGCTGGAGTAGCAATACTCACATCTGACAAAATAGACTTTAAAAGCATCATGCTAAGCTAGATAATCCAGTCAGAGAAAGATAAATATCCTATGATCTCACTCATTTGTGGAATATAATGAACAACATAAACTGATGAACAAAAATAGAGCCAGAGGGAAAAAATATATACTAGAATATAATAGAAGTAATCCTGTTACTTGCAGATTTTTAATATTTCCTACAACTTTTGTGATATATTATGTTAGTACAGTTTTGGTAATATTATGATACTTAAAATCCTTTCATTCTTGAAATATTAATGTTTATTTCTTGTAATATTATATGTAAGATCATTTTCTTGAATAATTGGTGTTTATTGCATGTAACATCATATTTAAAATAGTTTTTCTTGAGATATTAAGGTTTATTGCATGTAACATTATTGTCTTTCTTGAAATAAAATTGCCTTTCTTGAAATAAAAAAGAAACTGAAAAAAGAAAGTTTGATGATATCAGAAGAAAGACAGCGTCAATGAAAACTTCAGTTCTCTGCAGATGTGGTGGAGTTTCCACAGTTCTTTTTGGGAATGAATTACTTTGGATTTTATTGTTTATTGTTGTGCACCAAAGCTTGATGCACATCATAGTTATGCAATAATATAAATGTCACATGTGAACACTCTTGAAAGCACGAACTCAGCCTGGTGAGGGTAGGGAAGCAGTACTAGAGAGGATGATCCCAAGGTTTAGGCATTTTATAGATTAGGAGTGTCGTTTTGCTTTTATTTAAATTTCTTTAAAATATATTTTTTATTGATTTCAGAGAGAGAGAGAGGGAGAAGGAGAGAGAGAGAGAAACATTGATGAGAGAGAAACAGTGATCTGCTGCCTCCTGTACACCCCCCACCTGGGATCGAGCTTGCAACCCAGAATGTGCCGGTATGTGCCCTGATCAGGAATTGAACCGACGACCTCCTGGTGCACAGGACTGATGCTCAACCAACTAAACCACATCAGCCAGGCTCATTTTGCTTTGAAAATATAGGCTGATGTCTGTGTATCTGGGAGCCAGGAAAAGTGAAAACTAGCATTGTTATCACATACAGTAGCTTGTGCTTAGCATGTGTCCACTGTAATCACAGCCACCTAGAAAGCTGAGAAAATGTCCTTGGTTGTCATGTTAATGGAGAGTAGAGACACTCTACCAAACTTAAGATTTGAGAAGCTATTAAAAATACCTGGATGGTGTATTCATGTTGGTGTTCACTTTGGAGTTATTCTAGAGTCCCAGGGAGCCCTGGCCGGGCCCAGGCTGACCTTGCCAGGTGATGGCAGGGACATCAAAGTTGGTGTTTATGTTTACCCGGGTAGAGAAATTAGAGTCCAAAATGCTATCATTTGGAGTCTTGCTTCTGCTGTTTAGGTTATAGAACAGGTTTAGACCTGATGTATATTTGTAAAAACACATGCAATAGATAGACAAGGGGAAATGTAAAACAGGTGTCAAAAATGCAAATATGACACCACACAGCGGTGTGAAAATGCTGTGGTCATTACACCGTCCTTTAATAAAAATGGATTTTTAACTGCATCATTTTTTTCTTAGTCGTGTAGTAAATCTTCTGTTTACAGAACTTAGCCTAAGTATTTTGTAAAAGTCCAACAGCCAAGAAATATAATTTCCTCAACAGTTTTTGTCTTACCCTTTTACAGATGGCGTAAAATCAGGTGTGTAAAAAAATAAAAAGCAGTTTGAGCTGACGTGAAAGGTATTTCAGATTTATGCTTTGCAGATGATATTGGTATGATTAATGCATTCATTGCTTTTTTTTATTGCTTTTCACAGATAATGTACATGATGCATGGAAAATGTTGTGGGTTTAAATCTTTGCCAGGTTTAGAGTATGAATATCAACAGATGTTATCATATAAGTACTATAATCATTATAAAATAAAAAATTTGTCATGAAATGCATTGACATAAATTTCATTTATGTAAATTGCCTTTATTAGTGTAAAACCTTAGTGTAGCTGTTAGGGTTTGTGAAGCACTTTAGATTAGATTAACTTGGTATAATGTGGTCACAAATGGGTTGCTTTAAATTTAACTGACAAGAAAATAACACTCAAAAGTTAGGAAATTACTGAGGCATTTGTTTTCAGCCTGAATTGCTGGTACCGCTTAAATAGGTTGAATATGAATTAATAGCAGTAGACTGCTAGCTCAATAATTACAGAGAGTAATTTAAAGGAGACCTTAAAGAATAACTTAAAAGTATTTTAGTCTTGCTTTTTTCTGTTCTGTTTCTGTTTTTCTTTGGTATGCCAGCCCATTGCTTCAGTACAGCCATTATCAATAGTGTTCAGGTTTGCACAGCAAGTTTTGTCAGTAGAGTTTTGGTGCATTATGGCCGTGACATAAAGCTTGCGTTCAGCTGTTTTAAAATATTGGATGCTGGGTCCTGATGGAGTGGCCTTAGCAGCTGGTCAGCTCTTCCTAGCAGCAAATGCAATGCTGTGCTACACTTGTGTGGCGGGATCATGACCAGTTGCCCTCCGTCCTCAGGAAGGATTCAGCCCACCAGTATGGACAAGGGGGTGAGGGTCTTCTTCCCTGCTTCTGAGCTCTGTTTCTGCTCTTTTTCTACATCCTTTTACACAAAACAAAGCAGTCCATCCTCTCCCCTGTTTTGCAGATAATTTACCATCACATTGCCCTTCTGATCCAGGCTGGAATGAGCCATTCTAACTAATTCACTGATTTTACTGGAGGACACTGAACCAGACTGAGATCATGGAATTGCTTGTGGTCACACTGGTCATGGCACAGTTAGTAAGTGCCAGACTCGCATCTCTGGTTCCTACAGCAATATTTTTAGATCCTACTTTGATATAGAAAGGTATTTTTATTTATTTTCTATGAGATATCTTATTTTCCAAGGGCTACCTGTTGGATTACTTTTCTACTTTAAATGGGTTTGACCATACTTCCCTGAGAAAGGGATTATTCACCAGCTAAAAACAAATAAAGCTGTACTTGTTTAGGAGTAACCCAGGTATCATTGTTGAGCAACCAGAGATCATTCAATTATATCATTAAAATCAATATAATCAAAACAGCAAATACTGCTAATCAATCTATTTGCTTCTGAAGGTGGGATTGTGGCCTTCTCCCATATCGTTCATCAAACTGAATTCACATACCCTGCCCTTGCCATTGCAACCCTGGCTGTGGATGTGCACCAGGTGCCTGGAGCAGACCCAGTCAGGGTTGGGCTGGGAGCCATGTGGTCTCTTCACTGAGGGCCAGCAACCCTACCTCTGTTGGGATCAGTAGGTAGTGAGGTCCCTGAGCTGGCAACCACTGAGGGGCTAGCACCGATCTGGGCCCACCGCACAGAAGGAGGAAGATGCAAAATAAGTACATGATTCTGTTTCTGCCCAGAAGAGCTTCCAGTTTTGCTGGGGAGGTGGCTCATCTGAATTGTACAGGATAGTTGATTTTTAAAATTGCCATGTTAACCAGGCACTAACGTGAAGTAGTAATAAGCTGAGGGAGGTGTACTCCATTCAAGATGGCTGTCTGGAGAAAGGGGAGCTTTGAGTTGGTCCTCAAAGGTCTGGTAAGTTTTTTTTGAGGACAGGAGCTAAGGGAGAAAGAGGGCACATTGGATTTGTATATGCTGGTGAGTGAGGGCCCTCAGATTGGTTCAGTGACTAGGCTGAAGACTGGCAGCGCGGGTCCCTGTGCTCTCCCTGGGTTTAGTGTTGCCTCAGGTTTAGACTGTTTGAGAGCCAACTCTTGTCTTTCTGTTTTTCCTCCAACTTGCTTGTTTCTCTCAGCAGCACCACCATCCTCTCAAGCACCCAGACCTGAAACTGAACACTTACCTTGGTCCCCAGTCATCAAGAACTGATCAGTCTTCACTTAGTGTCCTTCTCCAAGACTGTGCTTCTGGTCGGTGTGCACCTCCCCTCCCCCAGAGTAGCTGTAGGAGCTTCCTGACAGCCTTTCACCTCTAGGTCTTGTCTGCCTCCAGAGTCCTGCAAGCTGCTTTGTGGTGACCAAGTGGGTCTCTGCTCAGAAAATCCCAGTTCTTTCTATTTTATCTTACAAAAATTCTTTTCTCAGAGGTTTTCAAAACTGCCCACAATCTGGCCCTAATCCTACCTCTCATTACTTCTCTATGAGAGGCCTCTTTACAGTGTGAGAGATTAAACTGTAAAATACCCCAAAGGTCACCTAGTCCTTCCCCTTACTGAAGAAGTGGGGAACCAAGGCTCAGACAGGGATAGCACAAAGCATTAGTGGCCATATTGGAACTGCAGCCAAGACCCCCAGCATCTCAGTTCAGTTCTTTTCTACCTTTATGCCAGCTGTTCTTCATCTTCCTATGCTCCATCCCCCATCTTTCCACATTCCACCCACTTCTAGCAAGTTTTTCCTGATTCTTATGCACTTTGCACAATTACTGTGGGCTTGGCACTTGGCTAGACACTGGGGGTGCAGTGGTGAGCAAAGCAGATATTGCCCCCATTTTCATGGTGTTCACAGCATAGTAGGGGAGGGAGAGCTTAAACAAAGAAAACAATCCTATATAATAAAAGCCTAATATGCAAATTGACCGAATGGCAGAATGATCGATTGCTATGGCACGCACTGACCACCAGGGGGAAGACACTCAACGCAGGAGCTACCCCCAACCCACAGACCCCAGGCCAGCCAAGGCGGGTGCCAGCGGGGGCCCCTCAATCGCCCTGCCAGTCACCCTGGAGAGGGAGGCAACCGGGGGGAGGGGCGGGCCCAACCAGTGGGCAGTGCCAGGCCGACCAAGGCCGGTGCTAGCGGGGGTCCCCCGATCGCTCCGCTGGTCGCCCCACAGGTTGGCCCTGATCGCTGGCCAGGCTTAGGGATCCTACCTGTGCACTAATTTCGTGCACCAGGCCTCTAGTGAATATACAATTGTAGTGTGGTAAGTGTCATGAAGGAAAATCCTAATAGCTAATGTTTAAAGAACATTTATGACCCTAGCTGGTTTGGCTCAGTGGATAGAGCCTGTAGACTGAAGGGTCCCAGGTTTGATTCCGGTCAAGGGCACATGCCTGGGTTGCGGGCTCTCTCCCCAGTTGGGGGCGTAAAGGAGGCAGCCAGTCAATGATTCTCTCTCATCATTGATGTTTCTATCTATCCCTCCCTTCCTCTCTGAAATCAATAAAAATATATTTTTAAAAAAGAACATTTATGGGCTAGGCCTGTTGTAAGGATTTTACATGTATTTATTAATTTAATCCTCACAAAATCCTGTCAAGTAGGTAATATTTTCCTCATTTTATAGATGAGAAAACTGAGTTTTAGATGTAGTGACTTACCCATGGCCTCACTGCTAGGAAGCAGTGGAGTTGGGATTTGACCCCAGGCAATCCCTCTCATTTGTCTGCGTGTGTATGGCCTCTCCAACTAACAACGGGAGTGGAATAATGGGAAGACCAAATTCAGTTTGAGGAGAGCAGGCAGGGAAGGCCTCTCTAAGGAAGCAGTAAGCTGATGCTTTTTGTTTCCCTCCGTTGAGGCATTTTATTTGCACGTATGTATTACATCCTAAGAAGAGAATCCTAGAATTTTCTGTCCTGGTGTTTTTTTGCCTTGCTTCTTCCTGGTCCAGGATGCCAGCTGAGGTTGTCAGTAAAATGGGTGGGAGCAGGTTTTTCTGCATTTTTTTCTAGATCTTTGAGTTGCACATCAAATCTGGAGCTGATCACTCTATATTTGTTTAACCTGCCCATGAGGTTCACAACAATGTTCCCAGCTCTGTGATCATCAGTTATTTCAAATTTACCGATGTAACCAGGCTTCATCATCACAATTAGAAACCGGACCTGGTGACATTGGAGCATGGTCTCATAGGAACATGGTGTGTGCCTGTCCTTTCAGCATTGTTGATGCTCTGAGAGCATCAGTCAGGACATTCATGCACCATCATGGCGGCACAGAAGGGTGGAGGAAAGAGGACAGGAGGGGCAAGCATGCAGTAATGCGGGAAGTGGGCAGGCTGCTGCCAGACTTTCAAAGGATCAATCCCTCCAAAAAAAGACTGCCTAGTGGAAGAAGGCAGATGAAAGATGATGCATTTTCTTAAAAAGATCAATCAGAGGGCAGAGTGGAAGTGGAGGGGGCAAAAGTCAGATGTGGAGAATAAACAGTAAGGAGCCTGTTGCATTCATTCAGGTGAGATGTCATCGCTAGGAGGTTGTAGACTGGGACAGTGACAGAGGGGAAGCAAAGAAATGTATAGGTTGGAGCTATATTTTGGGGTTTCAACTAGTGGAACCATAGAAAATGCAACTATTAAGAGAAAACCCATTTCTCTAGGGAGGAGTGATGATGGGTTGTGAGGAAGAAGAGCAGGGGTTTGTTACCAATGACTCCCAGATTTAGGACCTGGGGGAACGGGTGGTCGGAAGTGACATTTACTGAACTGGGAAATTGTAGGAGAGGAACAGGATCGGTAGGCAAGGATCAAGATTTCTGGTTTGGACATTGCTAAGTGTGATTTGCTATGAGATAGCTAAATGTGAACTTCAAGAAGGTAGTTTTATGTGTGAGTTAGGAACTCAGAGTAGAGATGTGGGTGTAGATAATTGGGGAGTCATAGATGTGTCTGGAAAATAGCCAACATAATAGATGAGATCACTCAGGCATAAATTGTCCTGTGAGAAGAGAGGAGGAC